AATATAACAGTTGAGCGACCGTGCTAGAACCACGGAACTCGGGAATGCCTAACACCTTCTCCCGGGTTAACAGAATTCCTTATCCGGATTTCTGGTACGCAGACTGTAATATAGAGTCATTCTTTTCCTCGATTCGGGATTAAAATTGGTGACTTGGGACACCCTAAATCTCCCAAGTGGCGACTCTGAAATAATTAAACCAATCCCGTTTCGACTGTCCTTTAATTGGAAAAAACTCCCTACGCCCTTCGCGGGGTCGGAAAAAGAGGTGTGACACCAAATAGAAGGATGTGAACATGGCTTTGATGTGATATTAGATGACTCTGAGATTGGAATATTAGGATCTGGGTTTGCTGAAGATATGAAGGATTTGAGAGCAGGAGTTGAAGGTGTATCAGGCACTTTGACAGGTGGTGGTATCTTGGCAGGTTGAAGTATGTAAAGTCCATCCTTCTCCTTACTAATCCCCCTTACCCTGCCATTGTAGAGGTCCTGAAAAATGCATAATTCAGGAAAGAATAATGCACAACACTTCAGTTCTTTAGTTAGCTTTGAGACAGATAACAAGTTGTATTTGAAGTTAGGAACATAAAGGACATTATAAAGTTCTAGGTCATTAGAAAGAGTTAATGATCCTGTGTGAGTTACAGAAATAGTGTTACCATTAGGCAAATATACTTTACTAGAATTAGAGGCAATAGAGTGGGATTCAGTTAAGATGTCCAAGCTAGAAACCGTATGATTCGAAGCTCCGGTATCGATAACCCAGGAATTAGTTTCAGAACCTACAAATAGGCATGTATTAAGGAGATCAACTATACCTGTCATGTTTGCTTTTGCATCTGTTGTTGAAGGTTCTTTGTCAATTAGCTTCAGCAGTTGGTGATACTGTTCTGGAGTGAAAAATGGTATGTTGATGGGCCCTCCTGATAAACCATCTACTGAACTAGTTCCTTCAGATTCAGCAATGCAACTCACATTATTAGCTGTAGGTCCCCTGCTTCCTCCTGAATTTTCCTTGTCAAAAGTTCTCCTTTTGTTAAACTTGTTGTTAGATGGATCCTACCAGCTTATAACAATTTTCTTTTTGTGACCCCTCATATGACAATAGTCACATTACAATGCACTATTTCCATTATTTTTTCTGAACCTGTTACTTTGAATAGAGGCTAATGTTGTAGAATCATTCAAATCAAGTTGTTGCAAGGCTGGTGCTACCTGAGATATCATGTTTGATTGCACTCTGTGACTTTTATTCTGCATTATCATATTGTATGCCTGATTGAGAGTGAGAACATGGGCAGTTAATAGAACTTGACTCCTTGCCTGTGCATATATCTCATTTAAGCCCATCAGAAATTGTACTAGTCTTTGATGCTCCATGTGTTCAGCATATTCCTTATGCTTGGTACTGTCACATGGCAATGGTACCATTGACCAATACCCATCCCATACACATTTCAGTTTTGAGTAATATTCTGAAACTGATAAACTTCCTTGATTGGTGGTAAAAATTTCTCAGAGAAGTTGATAAACTCTAGTTAGATTTTTCTTATCAAACCTTTCCTTTAAATCTGTCCAAACACTACAGGCATTGGTTGAGTACATTATACCATTGGCTAGCTCTTTAGACACTGAATTGGTTATCCAGGATAACACAAAAGCATTGCACCTCTCCCATTCATGCTCTAAATCACCACTATACTGTTCTTTCCGATACTTTCCATCTATAAACCCTAGCTTATTTTTGGCTAATAAAGCTACTCGCATAGAATTGCTCCAAGCTATATAGTTTTCTATTCCTGTTAGTTATTGAGGAATAAGTACGCTACCTGGACTGTCTGAGGGATGCAAGTACAAAGGATGCCTGGGATGAATGTCCGTGAATTTTTCTCCATCGTCCTTCCCGGTCTCAGTAGTTGTGTTCGTCATCGTCTAGGCTTGAATCAGTGATTTGAAGGTTGAATCTGCATCAATCTTCAAGGAAAACTTTTCACTTTCTCGGAATTCACAAGTTCTGAAATCAATCGTAAAACCTAGGTAGATTCCCCAAATTTCCGACGAATACTCTTAAATTTTCACTTCTCTGACAATATTGAGTGAATTTATCTATACTAATCTTAGATTCTTCAAAGGATCGGATCAAAAAACGTCATAGATCTATGACTCTGATACCATGTTGAAAGGAGAATAGGATCTGATCCTTGAGCTAAGATGGGAAGAACAGAGAATAGAGAAAGAGAGAGAGAGTGGAAAGTTCTAGAGAAGTTTTCTGTTATTGCCTCATACCAAACGTGTGACCTTTTACATTTAAATATCTTTTATTCTAACTAACTCTAACACATGTATAATTAACTATCAACACTAAGCTAACACTAATCAACTATGTACAAACATCATTGCTTATGTACAACTCTACACTTCACATACTAATTTCAACATATATGTTCTCTATAATAGTACTTCACTATAACAGTCAAAGTATCGGAAATAAACGAGGTTGTCGTTGTAGAGAAGTTTGATTGTATTTTACTTTTTCTATTTTCATTCTGAATATGCCTATAGTTTTCTAGCTTTCCTTCGTCTTGTTTTATGCTTAAATATACATAAATACTGCGATTTGGACATTTGCTGTTTAATGCAAAATGATTTGTCAGGTAATTAGTGATTTATTATCTGATAAACTTGCCTTAAATTAGCTGCTTCACTTAAGACCCCTTTTTATTAGTTGACAGTAGCCTCATGGCATCTCTGTCCTATACTAAAAACATTTTGGTTTGATTTTCATCTGTGTCTATAAAATGAATAAGGTTGTTTTAGTTTTTTAAACGATTCACTTATCGGACGAAAGAAAATCAATACTAATTTTTTAAGAGTTAAGTTGTGTGCGCTGAAAGTATATAAGTTTCTTACATCATCATGTTAAGTTGAGCAATAACAACGTAACATGTCAACTGAATATTAAAAAAAGGGTTAAATTATTGATTGTAGTGTAATTTATTTTTTTTTGCGCCGTTAATATACATACCTTAAACCCAATATGAATAGGTGTCTATTCATCTACCTCTATAAATGATTTGATTTCCTAGTATATAAAAGTAGGTGTTTTGGGTACATTAGTGTATCAAGATCAGAAATTTCATGGATTTGGTTTATTAGGATGATAAAATGCATTAGCATTCAAATATTACGACTTGGCATGTTACAGATATTGATATCAAATCGGATATTGATCTCCCTAATTGTTTAACGATTTGGACAACCAATTTTTTTCCTTTTCTATTTAGCTAGCTCTTTCTTTTTTCACTTTGTTCTCGTTGGATTTTTGATTCACTTGGATTAGTTTTGATTTAATGGGTGCATGTGATTCATACACTTCACTTGTGTGTAATATTTGAGAGAACTCCAAAAATATGCAAAATGCATATATGAAGAACGACTTACATCTGTTCTAAAATGCGACTTATAAATCATGTTAGGAATGAGACTTATTATTGTTATTATTATTATGCATAATGGGAGTAGGAATGCTAATGCATATGAAAATTGTATACACACTATGAATGAGACTTATACCTGAATGTGATTTATAGATCACATCAAGTATGCGACTTATAAGTCTCGTTCTGCGAGTTATAAGTCGCATTTTACTTGCTGATGGTACTTCTGAAATTCCGACACTTATTAAGCTCAGCCAAAGAAACTCCTGCACATTATATTTGAACTTGGGATTCGACTTCATTAGTATTTTAAACCAAAAAATCCTCAGTGATTTTTAAAAAGTTAATAATTCTGTGCCTGTATCAGAGTTTAAAGATATTCCAAACTCGAATTAATGAGTAAGTTTATCTACATATTACTATTACCTCAATCAAATATATGCATTTCGAACTCTGTGAACTGCTAATAATGAACACACTGAGAATGAAATGAACAGATGCATCGAAGAGGCTAAAATTTCCATGCTTAAGCATTTGAAACACTCGGGAGGATGTCAACAGACGCCATGCGCGGAGTTCGGGAAAAGGCCGGACCACAAGGGTGTATTGTACGCTTAAAAATTAGAACCTTCTTAACTAATATTTGTGAGGACAAATGGGGGTAAATTGGTTTTGTGACTTTTTATAAACTTGTTTTTAGTTTTATGACCTTACTTCTTTTATTTACACATGGGAGATTTACTTTTATATATAAGAGATATGTCATTACACATAAAAGATTTGAAAAGATCATTTTTTTAATTTTAAAATCATAAAGGGGCATGATATACAAATAGCTCGGAAAATTGGTTGTAAAGATTATACGTGCTTTTGGCTTAAAAAGTAAACAAACAATAAACCAACAACAGACAAACATGTGAAAGGCAACAGGTACTCGCTAGAATAATTAAGATGCATGCGAGTTAAGGGCGAGGAAGGGCCGCATTGTAAAAGGTGTGATATAGGCAGCCTACTTTGATGGTGATTGGTTTCATGGTTCGAACACGTGACCTATAGGCAGGGGCGAAGTCACCTTTTATAAAGGTTGGTCAACTGACCACCCTTCACCAAAATATTACAAAAAATTACACTATATATAAGTAAAATATTGATTTTAGATATATAAAATATATATTAAATACCCTTAGTCAGGAATTTTTTTTTAGTTCTTTCAAGTCTTAACACCCTTGGAAACATTTCTGGCTTCGCCACTGCCTATAGGTCACACAGAGACATCTTTTCCGTTACTCCAAAATTCCCATCGTCACTATTATGAAAAAATAAAAAATAAAAAGGACTAGAAGAGTTCAAGAAACAAGTGTGAATTTCACCAGTCATTCAAACATAAGTCTTATTTTGCATTCAAGGCTCAAAAAAAAAGTTTATTTCAATGATGGTGGCTGTGTTCATCAAATCCAAGACACTGAATGAAGATAGAACAGAAATAGCCGACTAGCAAACAAGGGCAGCAACAACATGCCACTAAGGGATCATCATCTGGCCTGTTTCCTTTAGCTCTGTAGCGAAGATTGTAATTATAACCACCCATCTTCTTGTTCCCCCTGAATAAACAAAAGAACTATTGATTATTCATTATTCTACGAGTTTAGTTATATGTTGTAAGAAATTTTTACACTATCACGTTACCTTACGGGTAACATCTTTTGTTTTCAATATTTTAAATTTCACATTTTAAGAAGATTTACCAGTAGATATTTTTTGAATAATTAGATAGTATAAAAAATTCCTTACACTGACCAATATATATAACTTAAACTCATAATTATCATCAATGAACAAAAGATCAAAGAAATCAACAAATGAGCATATAACATACCTTGTGATATGAGCTTCCTCTTTCTTTGCCTAATTTCTTTGGAAATCTTACTCTATTTAAATAAAGCAAAGATTGAGAATTACCTATGG